ATATTTATAAGCAAAATTGGTGAACGGGGAAGAAAACAGCTGAAGTGACTGAAAATACCGTATTTATTCATTCATTCAAATGACTATCATTTTTTGAGCTAAAAAGCATTAAAAATGTAATTATCAATAACCCGTGTACAATACTACCCCCCTAACACACACACACACACAATTTTTTTTAGTTTACTTGATGTTGGGACCTGGAGGTTTTTTCCAACAAAAATTTAGTTGTTTTGTGCAATGACATCTTAGTAATTTTAGTGTATTTTACCAAATTTACAGCATATGTCTCAAAATACTGCACTGATCTGGCATCACAGAATTAAAATGTAACTTGTTGAATCCTCAAACTCTGTATTAGTTTGTGAAATATAGTTTTGCTGTTCTCAATGAGAGCTCTGGACAATGTGTGCAGACTTTCTCATTACTCAACCTTTGTTAGCTTTTGCCACATTTGGGGCTGGGTGTCACTGCAATTTTTCACTTCATGCTGAGAACAAAATCCAAATAGAGGAGGCCCCCGGAGGAGGTCATGTGAGCGCCAGATGATGGGATCTGGACTGTTGCCTATGAGGACGTTGCATATTAAAAGATCCAAGCGTTGAAATTTAAGCGCCAGGACAGAAATTTGACCACACCAGTGAYCCTTCTCTATACAGACCAAACTAATCCCTGGTAGCTAATGAGCCACCTGGTCTTTGTTCACTAAGTCTTCTCTGAAAAACTCCTAAATCCACTCTGGACAGATGATCCAAACTTCTTCATTAATGGTTGTAAGCTGCATTAATTAATCACCTTGATAGTCTGGTCTTTTGTTGCTCTCACATAACTGTAAGAGTCAAGTAGGTTTTTTTTATTAGCTGAGCCAGTGTCAGTAAATCTGCTGAGAGATCAGAAATGTCCTTTATCTTTTCTCAGACGTTGAATGGGACTTATTGTTGCAGATTGTGAGTTTTAGCGGCGAGCAGGGCAGCCCAGGTGGGGTCAGTCCTGCAACACGTGCATTGTTTCACATGAGTGGACGTCTTAGGATACGTCTCTGCTGAGTTCTTGTCCAGAGCTGTCACCGGCGCTGACAGGCGAGACTCGCCCTTGGCTTTGCTGCTGTTTAGACAGGTGTTTTAGCAAAGAAAACAACTGCAGCCCGTTTCCAGCTTAGACCCTCACAACAGCGACGCTCCCCTAAGGACGGAAGGAAAGAATATTAGTGAGGGGATTAGGCCTGGAAAGGGCGAGGTTTGGACAGACTGACAAAGTCAAGGGGGACTTGRGTAAAAGTGAATTTGTCATCCAGCTTTGCTTGGTTTTGATGTTTCCACTGTCTCTRCTGTAGGGAAGGATGCAAATTAAAACAAACAAAACACATTTTTTTAGAATTTACTCCAACACTTTAAATTTTCTCTTTTTTTTATCCTCCACAAAACCTGAACACTTCTTCCCTCTGGAGGTCAGCGGGCACATGTTCTGCTTTTTGGATTTCTCTCTTCAATTTTCTTCCCTGTCTGTGTTTCCCATTGCCGAAACACACACACACACACACACACGTTAGTAAGACGTCCATAGTTGTGGGCTGTGCTCTTTTTGTGTGTGTGGGCAGAAAGAAGGCCAACACCCTCATGATTACCCACTCACCCACTTCCGTTTTCCACCTGTGCTGAGTGCCAGACCCACAGTGGCGCGGGAGTAGGCAGGACTGAGTCAGTCCCTCTGATGATCTCCAGTCACCGCTCTGTTACAATGGGTCAGCCAGCAGCAAATGGAGTGACAGGCAAGGCTGATTTAGAAGCTGCAATGGGCTGAAACTGGCATCGGTTTATTCATCGCCCTGAAGTGAACCAGAGCTGCTCCGTTCCCAGGGCATTACAGAGGATTTCTCTCCTCTGTTTTCCCTGTGTGTGTGTGTGTGTTTTAACATCCCGAATCAAGACGTCTGCTTGTCTCATTTACTGTTTGTGTAGACAAATGACACTGTCCTGGTAGGTGCCATGTGTCTGCCCGGGCTGAGAGGCGCACCATTTATTTTAGGGGTAAGGATGTGGGCATTCGGAGGGKACATATTTATAGTCTGCTGCTTTGGTGGGAAGACCTGCCAGCAAAAGCAAAGATTCTGAAAGGGAGAAACAGGGGACAGAAAACCCAAAGTCTGACTCACTACATGCTGAACGTTTGTGCTTTGTTCCCGGCTAAATCTGCAAGTCAGGTTTGGGATGCTCAAAAACATCTCTTGATCCATCAACAAAAATTCAAAGAGCTTAAAGTCTAATTATTAAGTGAAGTTACTATAACTGTTTTCATCAATGATTTTATGCGCATTTTGAGGTATTGCATTAGAAAAGGTTGATGGATCAATTTTGCAAAAGAAGTTTTTAAGCTCATTGAGGTGGCTTTTAGGAAAAAGAGTTAATGCACAACAGGGGAGATGGAAACACATTTGCCCGAATGTTACAACACTGGCTCAACAGGAAAAAACATAATGAGACCCAAAATGAAAAGTGGGATTCGCTAAAAAAAGGTTTATTAAACTGAAAATGGTGTACTTGGGGAACACCACAACCAAGCTGCTGCCTGCAGGAAGAGAAGTGAGGGGAAGAGAGCCAACTCAGAGGAGGTGTGGCTTCCTCAAATAGGCTGCAGGTAGTAGC